CACCCGGTCTGTGGCTTGTCTTTAGGTTTACAAGCAGAAGGTGAAGCACTTGTTGTACGAACATCAGGAAAACCTCACCGAGCTGAAGGCAGAGGGCACCCTGTCCATGAAGCGGGCCCAGAAGGATCACTGGGCCCAGGAGATGGAGCTACATAAAGACATGCGCTCCTTGAAAGTGGAGCTGAAGGAACAGGAGCTGGCCAACGAGGTGGTGGTGAAAAACATGCGCCTGGTACGTCCCTGGCCAGGCCAGAGCCACATGCAAGGTGCCTCTGCTGCAGATGGAGGTGGTGGGACCGCCAGCTGAGCCCTCCCAGCCCCAGCATGTGAGCAGGAGCCTGCCTCCCCGGTTCTCTCCGTGGGGTGGGATGGGGTTTCCCGCAGGCACCGGTAACAGATGGATTTAGAGGGACTAGAAAGTCACCACGGGAATGGGGAGAAGGGCTTCCTGGGCCAGCTCCGGTGAACCCCCGCTGCCGCAGCAGGGAGCTGTGAGAGCAGCTGGAGGACCTATGAGCCGCCGTTTGCACGGATAACGTGGGATTGGTGCCACGGCTGGAGCCCTTCCCTGGGAGCAGGAGGGAATCCCTCGGGATGCGGCTGACTCAGGATTTGGTTGTGTGCCTCTAACACGTAGCTTCTCCCTAACAGAAACAAGAGGAGGAGATCACCCGGCTGTGCAACGACTTCGAGAGACAAGTGAAAGGTCAGGACATGCACGTAGTCCCTGCATGAGCTCCCTTTGTCAGTGTGCCGGGGAAGGCTCCTCTGAGCTCTGCTGCGCTGTGGGGCTCCCTGGCAGAGCCTCAAGCAGAAAGAGGGCTGGTTTTCCTCCAGTTCTGGCTGGTTTTCCCCCAATTCTTACTCCCCTGTGCTCTGGGGCTGCCAGACCCCAGCATCGTGTGAACAGAACAAGGCCGGGCACCTGGCAGGGCGCCTGTCGCTGCTGCCAGGCCATACCGCTGAGCGCAGCTGCCTGGCAGCGCTTCTCCAGGCTGTGGGGTGGGCGGGCTGGAGGAGCCCTTGCAGAGTCCTCGCTCCAGCATCCTCAGGGAACGTTTCAGGTTCTCACGGGCTGACTTGGAGTGTTTCCATGCCCTCTTTCCAAGGATGCTATTTCTGGGTTCTGCTCTCTGTGGTCCCAGCGTAACTGCTCCACACGCTGGTGGCAGCTGCGGTGACGCTGCTAATGAGCATCTTGTCCTCAAGTAATGCCGCGGTGGCACGCGCCGAGCTGGGGTGCAATACGCAGGGTCTCCAGGAGGTCCTCACTCAGCCCCCTGTGCGGTCCCCCAGAGATCGAGGCCAAGTACACCAAGAAGATGCAAGTGCTGCGGGACGAGCTTGATTTGCGGAGGAAGACGGAGATCCACGAGGTGGAGGAGAGGAAGAACAGCCAGATCAGCGAGCTGATGAGGAACCACGAGAAGGCCTTCAATGACATCAAGAACTACTACAACGATATCACCCTCAAAAACCTGGCGCTCATCAGCTTGCTGAAGGTACTGCCTGCCCCCCTGCCGTAGCCTGCCTGGCCTGCGGAGTGTCACCCTTCCACCAAGGGACTGGTCCTGTGAGGATTTCACCCAGATCTGGCCAGTTCCCAGGTGACGGTGTGGGTGCTGCTCGTCACCTGCAAAGCTCTTGAGCACAGGGAGATGTCTCTTGCTGGGCCAGCAGCGGGAGGGTGTCCTGACGGTGTGGGAAGCTCTGAGGAGCTGGGCAGCCCCCAGGAGTTGGCACTTGTGTTCTCAAGAACAGGAGCAGATGGAGGAGATGAAGAAGAGAGAGAATCACTTGGAAAAGGAGAAGGCGGATGTGCTGCTCCAGAACAAGCAGCTGAAGGAGCCCCTGCAGCAGGCCCAGGAGCAGGTGTCTGAGCTGCAGAAGAAGTTGGCCCACTATGAGAAGGACAAGGAAGTCCTGACGGTGAGTGGCCAGCCCTGTCCTTTCCCGAGTCGCCCTGGCTCTTTCCTGGAGGGAGTCGCTCAGCAGTGACCTCTGCCGCTCGGCTTGGCCAGGTCACTGAGCAAAGTCCTTTGAGTCCCTTTCAGCTTAGCTGGCTGTTTATAAGATCTCAGATGGGACTCCTGGGACTCTGGCAGCGAGAAACCAGAGTAGCCCCCACTGCAGAGGGGGAAGGGAGTTGGTGTGGGTGCTGCCTGTTTTTTCTCACCCATATCTCTGCTGGTCACTCTCCTCCCTTGCCAGAACGCGTCCCCCACACCTCCCAGAGAAACCCATGCTCTTTAACTGTCCCTTTCCTCTCACAGAACACAAAAGCCCGTCTGAAAGTCACCCAGAAGGAACTGAAGGATCTTCAGTGGGAACATGAAGTGCTGGAGCAGAGGTTCAGTAAGGTGAGAGCTGCAGGTGGGTCTGGGCATCCCACTTCCCTCTCCAAACCCTGTCCCCTCCGCAGAGGGCTGGGCATGGGGAATCAGCAGAGGCTGCCAGGGCTGTGCTTAGCCGGGGGCTTTCTGAAGCTCTAATCCAGAGCCGTGCGATAACTGCTGCTTCCAACAAAGCTTCTCAGAGATTTGGCGTCTCCCACGGTCAGCAGACAGGCCTGGCCTTGTACTTTGCTAAGCAATCATGCACGCTCCGGCGGTCCCCTCCTGGCCTGCGAGGGACTGGCCGCAGCAGCGGCTCGGGGGCAGAGGCCGTGGGGAGAGATCGTCATGGGCCACCACCCCAGTCCGGAGCTTGCTCCCTCCTTCTGCCGGCATTCGGGGGTCGCTCCCTGGGCTTGCTGTGCCAGGGCGGCTTGGGATGAGTCCTGCTGACTGAGTTCTCCCAGACTCAGACTCTCCCCCCGCCAGCTAACCCAGATAAATCTACTGAGGCAAGAAGAGAGCTCATTTGCAATTCGTAGAAATCCCCAGGAATATGAACATTGATCTGAGGCCTCGTTAACAATCCATCATTAAGGCAGCAACATATTCAGTGGATTCAGAAATAGGCTGTGGAGGAGAGATTGTGTCCTAATTAGGACACTTATTAACTAGCTGTGAGCTAGGGACTCCTGCCAGCTGCGAGGAGGAGAGGAGAGACCCCCGTGTGCTGTGGGGCCCTCTCTGAGGTCTAAAATAGCGCCGCAGCGAGCCCGACAGCCCGTTCTGCTGCGGGGGTGTCCTGTGGCCGGAGGGGAGGAGGAAGCAGAAGTGCAGGTGCCAAGGAGGTGCCGGCCACGGAGGGAGGGAGGGGAGCTGTGCTCCAGCACCTGCCATCCCTGCGGGCTGCAGGTGCCGTGGGGAACGGCCAGGCTCTCGCTGGAGCAGGCAGGGCCGAGCTACTGGACCTGTTTGCTGCCAGCCCTGGGTGGCTGCTGGCCTGGGAGTCCAGAGGGCGGTGTGAAGGTGTCCTGTCTTTGGGAGCAGGTGCAGGCGGAGCGAGATGAGCTCTATCAGAAGTTCACCAAAGCCATTAACGAGGTGCAGCAGAAGACGGGCTTCAAGAACCTGCTCCTGGAGCGCAAGCTGAAAGGACTCCTCAGTGTCCTGGAGAAAAAGGAGGTGGAGCTCAGTGAGGTCTTCGCAGCGTCCAACCTCGACCCGGGCGCCCTCTCCTTGGTCTCGCACAAGCTGGAGGTACCGTGCGCTGCCATGGGGCCCTGTGAAGGCTGGCCTCGGCGGGCAGAGGCTGCTCTGGGGTGAACGCAGACCCCAGAGCCTGCAAGTCCCCGTCCTACGTGGCTGTAGCTGCCGCGTCACTCATTCCCAGCACTCCCAGGGCCACGTGCGGTGCCGCAGGGCACTCCGGCTCTCCCTCGAGAGCGGAGCATGTGGGTGTCAGAGTTTGGCACTGATCTCTCCCTCAGGTGGGGCCTGTTTCGAGGAGAATGGCCCCAGGCCAAGCAGTGCGCACCAGCACTCTGTGCTGCTGAGCAGCTGGCTGCGTGCGGGGTCCGTCAGCAACCCGGGGTGCTCTGTGCACGGGGAGTCACAGCTGGTGAACCTCTCCCGGCCTCCCTGGCTGCAGAGACGGCACAGACGGGTTCCCAGGGGCTCTGCAACGTCTGCCATGCTAAAAATACGTATGCAG